TTTTATGGCCAAAGGATATGTGGACCTTCATGCGTGTGTGCGTGATAAAGTGCCCCAATAGGGCATGGTCACGCTGCAATAATTTTTCCTCCATCCCTTTAGGATTTGGGCATGCATGCATATGTGCCCACCATGTTTTTCCAAGTCCCTAGCCAGAAGGCCATGTGGGATTTGGCTCCCTACGCACATGGCTTAACCACTGCACTACCTTAAGGGCATAATTACAGGTGTGACAAACAACAGATTTTATTTAGCATTATCATATGTAAGTAAACTGTCCACTTCTAAAAATTAATACCTTTTTTTAAAGAATTATTTATTTAATTTTATTTATTCATTCATTTTATTTATTTGTTTATTTTAATTTGATCAGAAAGACAGAGAGAGAGAGAGTGAAAGAGGGAAAGTGAGAAAGCAAGCCACCAGGTCTGAGACTCGAACCGTGGCTGGCCATGTGGGAATCCAGTGCCCTTATCCACCACGCCAATTGCCGGCCCCTAAAAATTAATACCTTTAACTTCCTTGTTGATAAGAAATCATACTGAAATTTCTCAAAATTGGTAATTTCTTGAAAAAGAACCAACAGTTTCATAATATACTATTAAACCAAAAAACTTTAAATTTCCAATAATTGTTTTATTTATTATTTTTTTAAAAATTTGTTATAGGATACATGTGTTTTCCAGAGAAAGAGAAAAAGTCAGAAAGCAAGGCACCAGGTCTAGGACTAAACTGTGGTTGGCCATGTGCAAGGCCAATGCCTCAAGCACCTCGTCACCTGTGGGCCCCAGGAATTTCCAATCCTTTGGAGTAGGATGGGACGCTTAAAAAATAATACATTTCAGAACCGTGGATCAGCTAATAATTCAGAACGTTAACATTTCTTAATTTCTTTTTTTTTTTTTGGAGAGATTTTCACTGTAGGGCGCGTGCGCTCGCCAGACAGACAGAGAGAGACATAGAGACAGAAAGTGAGAAATCACCCCCCAGGGGGGATGGTCACGCCGTAATCCCTTCTCCTCCATTCTCCTCTCGGGATCTTGGGCATGCACGCACACGCGCCCGGCGTGAGTTTTAAGCCACCGGGTCCGGGACGCAAACCGCGGTTGACTACGTGGGAGTCCAGCGACATAGCCATTACGCTAACTGCTGGTTCTCCAGAACGTTAACATTTCTTATTTACGAGTGAATAGCATAGATAATCCAATCTGAAAATGGCTTTTAAAAAAAATGAATTTTATTTATCATCATCATTCTTTCTTAACTAGAGAGAGACAGAGAGGGAAAGTGAGAAAGCAAGCAACCAGATTCAGCACTTGTGGAAGTTCAGCGCCTTAACCACCATGCCATCTGCTAGCACCTGAACGTGGCTTTGACTTGGGACAGTAACGAAGAGTTATAAAAAAAATTAAAACGTAAATTTACATCAAGGAATAACCAGCTGTTTTTTGTTTTGTTTTGAGATTTTTGCCACAGGGTGTGATGCTCAAAGAAGAAAAAGAGAGAGAGAAATCACCTATGGGCAATGGCGATACCACAATACCTTCTCCTCCATTATCCTCTTGGGATTTTGGGAACAAACGCACACATACCCAGCATGACTTTCAGGCCGCCTGGTCCAGGACACAAACTGTTTAGTTGGCCACGTGGGATCAGCACCTTAACCACCACACCCCATTCCTAGCTAGGAAGTCGGAGAAGACATGATGTACTTTTGCATAGAAAAATACTTCATTACTTTCCTGACAACCCAGTATTTTACAACAGATTCATACTTGAATTCTCTGAAACAAGTCTCCCTAACTAAAATAAAGTAACAGTTTAAGAATTTACTAAGGGGGAACCAGCAGTTGGCGTAATGGCTATGTTGCTGGATTCCCACGTAGTCGACCGCAGTTCGTGTCCCGGACCCGGTGGCTTAAAACTCACGCCGGGCGCGTGTGCGTGCGTGCCCAAGATCCCGAGAGGAGAATGGAGGAGAAGGGATTGCGGTGTGACCATCCCCCCTGGGGGGTGATTTCTCGCTTTCTGTCTCTATGTCTCTCTCTGTCTGTCTGGCGAGCGCACGCGCCCTACAGTGAAAATCTCTCCAAAAAAAAAAAAAAAGAATTTACTAAGGGACCAACATAACGCTTACACTGCTGGATGCCTACGTAGCAGACTGTGGTTCAAGTTCTGGAACCGGCAACTTAAAACGCACACTGGGCATGTGTAGCATGTGTGTCCAAAATCCAGAGAGAAGACAAGAGAAGGGACTGTGGTGTTTCCATCTCCCTGGGGGATGATTTCTTGCTTCCTGTCTCTCTGGTGAGCACACATGCACTACAGAAAAACTCTCTTTAAAAAAAAAAAAACCAGAATAGGCCTAGGCACTGTGGTACAGCAGTAATGCAAGCGCTGGAGACAAGTGACTGGGTTTGAATCCCAGGACTGGGCTGAAACAGGTTGGCCTGGCATGTAGTGGGTGGGATGTTGTGTTTCCTTGATCCTGAGGAGCTGGAGGGATGAGGGAAGAGAATCATGGCAATACAGCAAGATGAGACTTCATTCTCTCTCTGATACATGCATGTGATAGTATAAAAAACCAAATACCCAGATTTTAAAAGTACATATTCTTTGATTAAAATAAGCCAGATGGGGGACTGGCAGGTGGAGTGGTAGTGAAGGCACTGGACTCCCACATGGCCAACTTGTTTGGGTTCAGACCCAGCGGCTTGCTTTCTCACTTCTCCTTTCTCTTGCTCTCTGGTCAAGTAAAAAGTGACAATAAATAAAATAAAATAAATAATTCTTTAATTAAAAAAAAAAGATAAGGCAGATGGGGCAGTTGCTCCACTGTAACAGCTGGAACCCACTCAGCTGACCCTCAGGTTTGAGCCTCAGATCATGCAGTCTGAAAAACATGCTGGGTCTTGGGAACCAGCAGATTGCGCAATAGTTATGTCACTGAAGGCCCATGTAGTCACCTAAAGTTTGAGTCCCGGGCCTGGTGGCTTAAAACACACCAGATGCATGTGCATACATGCCCAAAATTTCGAGAAGAGAATGAAGAGACTGTGGTGTGGCCATCTCCTCTCGGGGGTGATTTCTCACTTTCTGTCTTTCTGGCGAACGCACACGTCCTATACAAAAGAGAGAGAGAGAGAGAGAGAGAGAGAGAGAGAGAGAGAGAGAAAGAAAAACATGCTGGGCGGGTGCATGTGCATGCATGTCCAAAATCCAGAATAGAGGGAAAGGTGGAGAAGGGATCATAGCATGACCATCCTCTGTGGGGATGCGTTCTCACTTTTTCTCTCTCTGACTAGTGCCTATACCTTCTGGCAAAGATTTAAAACATAAGTTAAATGATGAATACTTTTCTGTATTTTTAAAGGAATCATTATTTTGGGTCACAGATGTTTACAGAATCTGATCTGAAGAGATTAAGAGGTGGTATGGATTAAATTCTACACCTTTTTAAAAGTACCACAGCCTAGTAGTTAGGTCTTTGCTGGCAATTGCCTGGACTTCAGACCTGCTTTTACCACTGTCTAGATGGTATTTTCTGAGTACACTGATTGCATTAATTCCTCTATGTATAAAATGAAGACAATAGTACTGTCTCAAATGGACTCAGTGAGTTAGCTACTATGAATTCAAAGCTTAAAACAGTGTCCCATAAGTAAGTCCTATGTAAGTATTATTATTTAAAAAAAAGAAAAAAAATACCTGAAAGTTGTGACCTGTCCAAAGTTCACACAGAAGCAGTAACTAGGGCTGGCTAAAACCAGAATGTTGCATTCTGGATTGCCAGTGCAATGCTCTTGCCTTTTCCCCTTACAAAAACACAATGATTGTGTTATTCCCCTTTTAGGAAACCTTCAAAACCAAAGAAACTCCTTCAAAACAACTGGCAGCGCTACAAGCACTAGGTTATGCTGTTGACTGGCAAACTCATCAGAAAGACTTGTTTTTGCCTTTGTAGTTATAAGGGCACACACACAACGTAAACTAATTCTCAAGAACTAAGAAACCACAATTGCAGCTTTTATAAACCTTTTTTTATCTCTCTCCAGGAGGAAGCCAGTAGTGTTTCATCCTGTAATCCTCATAATGATTCTGCAGTGACGTATCTTACCTGACACACATGAAAACCATAGGTTACAGAAGCCCAGAAGGTGACTAGGAGACATGATCATTTTTAATTACTCTCTCCAAGCCAACAAAGCAAAATGGTATTAAAACCTCTGCAGAGGGGACCAGCACATGACATAATGGTTATGTCCCTGCACTCCCACCTAGTCGACCACGTTTCAAGACCCGGACCAGCTGCTTAAAACTCACGCCAGCTGTGGATGATCATGTGTTTTCTATCTTCAACTGGACTCCTGAGATGTGTATTCATGTGTGATCAATTCAACTTACAAGCTAAGTGTTGTATAGTGATTAAATGTGTAAAATACATTTTAAAAAATTAAAAAACAAAACAACAACAACAACAAAAAAAACCTCACGCCGGGCGCGGGTGCCCAGAGTCCCGAAAGAATGGAGGATAAGGGATTGCAGGGTGGCCACCCCAACCCCCACCCTCGGGGAAAGTAATTTCTCGCTTTCTTTCGCTCCTGCGAGCGCACGTGGCCTATAGTAAATAATCTCTAAAGAGGAAAAAACACTGCGGAGGAATCTTTTTTCAGTTGTCTCGGTCCGAGACAGTGGAATAGAGAGGAAAGGCTGAGGCCCATTAGAAATAGGGCAGGTGTGTGTATTCAGAAGGTAAAGCCAGCTCCTTTGAGCCTGCTCAGCATCACGTTAGCAGGGCGGGCTGAGTCAAAGACAACGGAAAAGCCTGGAGAGAACAGATACGGGCGAAGAGGAGCATCAGAAGAGGGAAGAGACCGACAACGTGAGGCCAAGGGAGAGAACAAAACGGAAGGAGAGGCGAGGCCGAGCGCAGGCACCGAGGGTGGGAGGGCGCGGAAGAGAGCCCGGGGCGAGGGGAGGCAGGTGGAATCGGGGTATACCGTGACAGTGTGGCGGGGCGTACCGGAGACCGGGCGGGCCGCACGGCGCCGTGGAGGGAGGAAGGAGGACCGCGCCCCGGCGGAAGCTTGCCGAGCAGCTGGAGAGCGCCGAGGCCAGAGCCCACCCACGGCCCCAGGCCCAAGTCCAAGCCCTGGCTCGGCCCCGCTTACCGCGACACGAAGCCCAGAAGGCGACGTCCGCACTTCCGGAGGGCGGGACGAGCTTCAGCCAAGCCAATGGGCACCTCCAAAGAGGCCGACAAAGACGTGCTGCGTCACTGAGGGCGCGCCGGACGTAACGGTGACGCCCAGGTGGGACGTGGCGGAACTTCCGGAGCAGAAATTCGCGGGCCGCGCTAAGGTCCCACCGTCCTAGGCATTGATCATACTTTAGTTCCGCTCAGCTCCGGGGGACACTAGATCTAGTCTTTACCTCGGAGCAGAAATAAAACTCAAAACGCCCCACTTGCACGGGCTACCCTGCTATCACAGATGAAGCTACTCGCGCAATCTTACACGCGCCTGCGCACACACCCCAAGTAGAGAAGGGATTCCAGTGTGACCATCCCCTCTGGGTGTGGGGGGCAGAGGGCGATTTCTCTGACCAAGCACAAGCCGCGGTAGCTAGAATGGCCCAGGTTAATAGACAGGATGTAGAGAACCTGGAACCCTCATCCGCTGTTCATGTGAACTGCAGCCTCTGGAGAAGGCTGGGTTTCTGCTACTTAAAGGTGCAATTCTACCTTTGGGTGTGTACCCAAGAGTTTTCTGCACAAAGTTAAGAACACCATTTAATAGCAAAACACACACCAACACTCCCCCCCCGCCCCCCACATCAATACCCAGAGGTGGTCTTTTGGTAAAACGAAACACACACCAACACTCCCCCGTGATCAATACCCAGAGGTGGTCTTTTGGTAAAACAAAAACAGAAACAAAAACACACAGAAAACTCGATCCTGGGGGCAAGGAGATGGCATAGTGGTTAGACTCCCACACCAGTTGGAGCCTGGCTTTGTAGTTTAAAGATGTGTAGAACACCCCAAATCCTGAGACTAGAGAAGGGATTCTGATGATCCATCTCTCTCCTGCAAGCACACAGGCCTATGGCAAAAACCTTAAAAGAAAAAATAAATAAAAATAAGGTGCTGATCTTGTTACAGCATTCACCACCTCTGGTAACATGCTCAATGAAAGCTAGTGAAGAGTTAATTACTGACTTCATTTGCAACAAAATGTCAAGAACAGACTGAAACAAGACAAAATAGTGGTACCTAGGGGTAGAGTTAATGACAACCACCACCTTGTTTCTTTTTGATAAAATAAAAAATGTTCGAAATTGATGGCAATGTGATGTGTGCATAACAGCTTACTAAGAATAAATTAGTAAAGTGTAAATGGGCAAGTTGTACGGTGTGCTAAATCTCAATAGCTCTGTTGAAAAACTAACAGTTTCAGGAATTTTCTCACATTCTAAACTCTATCTTATGCAAAGGAGCAATAATTCAAAACAGCATGTTTGAGTCAAAATCATTGGTGCAGAGTAAACTAATTGTATCCACCCTGTAAAGACACTGGAAATACTGATATAAAGACAACCAATATCCTTTTTTATCTACATTTATTTTATGCTGACTTTATTCCCGTGCCATAAGTTTTTGTTTCTTCAGTTTCTTCTGGGATATCTGCGGAAAGAAAAAATAAAAGGATGGTTAAGTTTCTTGGAGAAACCCACTTTATCTTGGAGGACTTTATAATGAACACTGGAGGCAGAAGGCCTAGTCCGTAAGGCCTCAGCGGAAGCAAGGATGGGATATTTAAACAATAAAACCAATGTAAGTTGAATACATTAGGCTTTAAGGGGACAATTACAAAACAATTCCCAAGTGCCCAGCTTTAAAGTATAGGTGTGGCCACCAGCAGATAATCATATGGGACTGCCTGATATACTGAATGTAAGATTACTACATTAGTTGAGGAACAAATTGGACTGTTAAAAAGCCAAAATAAAGAAAAGGGTTGCTCAGAATAATGTGCTTTCATGGTTATTCCAAAGGTGTCCTAAGATAGTCATCACAGCAACCACAAATCATTCTTCACACACAAAGAAAGCTGAGCAGTTGCAAGATAATTTACCTTTTTCTTCTGTGCAACTTCCTCTTCCGGTTTAGGAACAATTTGCTCCTTTTCAGTGAGGATCATCTCGATGTGGCAGGGGGGACTCATGTATGGGATAATCCGTCCATGAGCTCTGTAAGTACGACGGCGCATCTTTGGTGCCTTGTTCACCTGAATGTGCTCAATGACCAGAGAATCTACATCTAACCCCTGGGAAGAGGGTAAAGGGCACAAAATAAACATTTTAAATAGTCTCAACACCATAAACAAATACTAATTCCCAATCTCACCCCAAAGCCCCTGCCTTATGAAACCATTTCTGAAAGTCAATCCTTTGTGACTGCAAACAGCATTCACCTTTAAGTGTCTAAGTTACCAGCAAACTCCACTGTTTGTTATGTGGCCGGCCCTAAAATCATTAAAAAGAGCTCATGGGGAGCCAGCAGGTGGCGTGGTGGTTGAGGTGCTGGACACCCCCACATGGCCGACTACTGTTCGAGTCCAGGACCTGGTGGCTTGTTCTCACTCTCTCTGATCAAATTAAAATAAATGAATAAATAATAAAAAGATGGTGGGGCCATCAGGTGGTATAATAGTTAAGGCACTGGACTCTCATATGGTCAACCACAGTTCAAATCCAGGACCTGGTGGCTTGAAAATCATGTGTGTGTGTATGTGTGTCCTTCTCCCAAGGAGATGATTTCTCACTCCTTCTCTCCAGGGAGTGCACGCTCCCTCCCTATGGCAAAAACTTAAAAGAGCTGAAGAGGTTGATGGATACCATACTACCAATTTCTAAGCCCTGGTAATAAACAGAATTGAAGCTAGGAGCCATTAATTCCAATTCTGGCCCAGACTTTCAAATGCAAAAGAGATAAAGAAAATTCCAAGGTTTTATCTAATATATCATTATTTTAACTTATTTCTGAAACATTTTTGTATTATGACTGAAGGCAACAAAGCACCTTAAGCACTAAGACAGTCATTTATATAATTAACCATACTACAGCACATGAAAGGTAACAAACCCTTGGTAAAACACCTCCCAAAGATAAGGAGAGGGCAAAAAAGAGCACCACTTCTCAGCACTGGGGAGAAGGGAAGCATAAACCTTAGGTTTGGATGAACTGCAGACCACGCTCGTGAAAATCTACAGACAAAGCTATGGTCTGCTGGAGACTGGAGATAAAACTTTTAAGAATTTCTTTACATGAGAGATTTAATTACCGAGAAAGTAAGACAAACAAGGATATAAATATGGACAACAGAAACATGAACCACCACCGAAGTTGCATATAAAAGGATGTTAATCGTTTGGGTACCTTAAGTTCAGCATTACTCTCTGCATTTTTAAGCATGTGCAGCAAAAATTCAGCACTCTTTTTGGGCCACCGACCTTGTGTCCAGCCCCACTGTTTAGCCTGAAAGAAAACAAATGCAAGGTCATGTAAGTTTAACATCTCAACCAAGATGAATGTATTTTATTCACTATCAAGGTTGTCTGAATGTATATATTTCAGTTAATCCAAAGGTGTCCAAGACTGTCATTGAAGATGGTAAAAGCTCATCTTAGCCATTTTATCCCATCCAATCACCCTTTCTCAAAATTTGTCTTTTTAAATGGCAACTAAGAATTCTCACCTGGGCACATCTACCAACTCCACCATTGTAACGACGGAATGGCACACACTGCTTCTGTAAAGTGACATCCTTCAGATACTTGGTGGCTTTTCGGATATGCATACCCTTGATGGCCTGGGCAGTTTCACGAGTGTTCTAAATGTAACAATGAAGTATTGGTTAACCATGTGAAAGTACTGGAATTTTAAAAGTAAACATTTTCAGATTTTCAAAAATGTCAATACAGGGAACCAGCAATTAGCGTAATGGCTATGTCGCTGGACTCCCAGGTAGTTGACTGGGGGTTCGTGTCCTGGACCTGGACCGGTGGCTTAAAACTCCCGCTGGGCGCATATGCGTGAGTGCCCAAGATCCGGATGGATGAGAAGGGACCGCGGATGGATGAGAAGGGACCGCGGTGTGACCATCCCCCCTGGGGGGGTGATTTCTCGCTGTCTCTATGTCTGTCTGTCTGTCGAGCTCACGCCCTATAGCGAAAATCTCCCCCCCCCCCCAAAAAAAGTCAATATATACCAAGAGTTAACCCCTTACACAATGTTTGAGAGGTGAGAGAATATGAAAAAAATTCTGTGACTAAGAGCTGGGGTAAATTTGTTTGAAGCCAGGCAAAATTAAACCTAAACCTCCATTTATGCACACTACGCAATATTAAAGTTCCATTATCTTGCACTGCAATTACATGTCCTATCTTGCTCTGTACACCAGATCAAGTAGTTCCCGTCATTTTACTGGACCCTATGCAATGCCAAAGTACAATGTAGCTGCTCAGAATTTATTACTTTTCATGGTAAATCCAAAGGTGTCCTAAGAATGGCATCATTGCAGCTACCTTTTAGAGTATCACTGAAGGGAACATGTAGAAGAACTCTCAGATCACAACTCAACTGGGATCCACGTACCTTAAAGTGAACACGAAGATTTGAACCTCTTGACTTGCATGCTAAAAAATGAAAATATTTTGATTAATGCTGGGTATCTTCATATGCTAACCTCCCACAACATAAAACTTATCAATGGCTTGTTCACTTACACTTTGTGGGGTTCTCTGGGTCAAGTGAATAGCGAACCATTTTCAAAGATCACCTGGGAGAAAGCGCAGCAAGATTTTGTTAACGACCCATATTTACAATAACCATTACAGTTTAAGTATTACAAGCTACCAACAGCTGCTCAGAAAATAGTTGTTTTCATGATGAATCCAAAGGTGTCCTAAGAAATGCATCATCGCAGCCACTGTTTTCTCCCCCTATGGAACCGACTACAGTCCTTACTGACAGTGACAGAACAGTGGCTCTCCCGTCCCTCCCGATGGGAGCACAGCTATGACCCAAGGCAACCTGGATTTTCGGGGTGTTTTGACGCACGGGCACGGCGGAACTCAACTGCAAGCCTCCACGTCCTCTCTCCACAAAACGCCCCTTCACTCACACAGCCCCAGCAGTCTATGGACAATCACCCACGTTAACAGCCGTCCTGTTAAAACGAGTGACGCTTCGCCCCGACTTGAATTCCCATCAAAAGCCTCTCGTTGAGGCCACAAATGCGCCGCGTACTGGGCCAACACTCACCGCGAGACACTGGATCTCCGAAGTCGGAATCGGCATGGAATGCTGGCCGACCGTGTCCCCACTTGCGAAAGGGCCCTGCCACCCAATCCCACCCATCGCGTGCCTGAGGGCCGCAGAAACCGGCCAGCTACGGCGCGACAAATCAGGCTCTCTGCTACATCCTCCCGCCCAAGAGACCACTGCCTCTAAGGAGGAATCCGTAGTTCGGGGAGTTCTGCTCGTGGAGAACATGAGGCCGATGCCCCACAGGCCAGGATGGTGACGATGGCGGGAGGATTGAGCACTCGGAGCAACGCCACAGAGACACTCACCTCAGGCCGCTACGGA